GCGCACGAAACAAGCGCGTCACGCAGTACGCGTATACACATGGCTATGTGAACTTAGTACCCTCTAATCTGATCCCAACCTTACCCCAACCCTTAACAAAAACATACGCTAATACTCTAACCCTAACAAGAAATTAGACTAATTCAACTTTCTTATACTATACGGTCGTTGGTCATACTCATATTAAGAAATTTTACTTACTGCATGGGCGGCGCTCAGCGCCTCAGCTTGTCATTCCGCCGAATCTCTATATGTTTACGTTTATGAACATGATAGCCTGAGGTCCCCAGGTAAGGGGTTTGCTCTAACCAGAGCACAGAGCCCTCTCGCTTGCAGTCTAGTAGCGCGCGACCGCCAAAGGCACGGGAGTATATTCTACTTCGTGTAAAACAAGCGCGTCACGCAGTACACGTAGACACACGGCTATGCGAAGCCTTGTCATACGTTGTATGACCCGCTGCGGCTCCCCCTGTATCGTAGAAACTCTACTACCACTATAGTGAAACAACCGCGCGTGGGGGTCACACCTTGGAGGACTTCGCCGCTTCGACGCGCCGCGCAAACTAGCATTCTTGCTTCGCATCGTCGATCGTTGCTTTTGCTTCGCATCGTCGATCGTTTGACACCGTCAATCAAGTCACGACATAATACAAGTGAAGCCTGGGGTCCCCGGGTAAGCAAGATTTTACTTAATATATAACCATGTGCTTTTTTATTTTTTATTTTGTTTATTTATTTTGTTTATTTGTCATTTTATTTGTGATTTGCGTCACTGCGGGCACGCGCTACTGTAAGCGTTAGGGCTATGGTTAGAGCAATCACGTGATCACTGGATACATGGTTTTTCGCCAATATCATATCCTACCAATGGAGCATTTTAGTTTTACCCTATGTCAATGTTTGCTCTAAACAGAGCCCTCTCTGCTCTCGCTTGCAGTAGCGCGCGACCGCCAAAGGCGGCAAAGGTGAAAGGAGGATATTCTACTTGTGAAACAAGCGCGTCACGCAGTACGCGTGGCTATGTCAATGTCAATGTCATTGGGGCACATGATTCGGAATCAGCGTTTGAAAAATAAAAATACACAAATCTAAGTTAGTTTTCAATTGTCAACTGTCGCGGATGCCCGATGCAGCTTTATTTTAGAAACGTTACAGTGTTACACATTATTAGCCTTCACCTAACCATGTACTTTCGCGCCACTGCGGGCGCGCTTGTTTCACAAGCAAAGCTGCATGGAGACGGGCGCGCGCAACTGAAAGCGCAAGGCCGGCTCTGATCCTCTGGATAGATTTAACATTAGCCCGTTGATTGACGATGTCAACCCGTCCAGACCGTTGCTTTGCGAATTAACAGAGCAACGATCTCGTCAGTAAAATTGACCTCGAAGTAAAATGATAGTTTGCGCGGTGCGTCGAAGCGGCGAAGTCCTCCAAAATATAGCCCGACAAAGTCAAAAATGTCAATTGACGATGTCGACTTGATACATGTTACGTATCGGTGGCGCGCGCTTCGCGCGCGAAAAGTGGCATGCAACGTATGTCAAATATCAACCCTTCCAGATCGTTGCTTTGCGCTGCGAATTAACATGAAAGCAACAATCTTGTTAATGCGAAGTTTCACCTAACCATGTGCTTTCGCGCCACTGCGGGCGCGCTTGTTTCACAAGTCAAGAGGCCGTGAGGCGGGCGCGCGCTACTGCAAGCGCAAGGGCTCTGGATAGAGCAAATGTGAAGTCAGAAGTAAGAATGATAGTTTGCGCGGCGCGTCGAAGCGGCGAAGTCCTCCAATCAAAAGTGCTACGGAATATTATTATAGGGTGCACCGGGTTAGTTCCTTAATGCTAAACAACGGACAACAGCCGGTTAGTCCATACTAAAAATTGACAATATACTCACTATATTATAATACCCCCATGCTATTATACCTCCTTTACTGTTTTTCCTGTCATTAAGCCTCATTGACCATTGTTAATGATCTGACCCGTCGCGCACTACTTCGTAGCACTTGCCATCGGGCCATTTCGAGAAGAAAGCGGAGCGCGCTACTTCGAAGAAATTTAGACGAGTAACATCCGTCAACATTCCGCCAACCTCTATTTGTTAATCGTTATATGTTTATGAACATGATAGCCTGAGGTCACCAGGTAATTATTGTATTATTGTATGTTTACAACCTACCAGGACGCGCGCCGAGTTGGACTCGTTGACAGTCCTATATAATAATAATTATATGGAACAGATGTTTTACGAGTATCATCCGTTAATTATATTATTGTACAAATTTCGGTAAAACCCAACATCGCCATATTCAAGTTTAGACGCCTTTTTTAAAGCGTTTAGACGCTGATATGACAGAATCGACTGCAACAAAAGTTGTAGCGCGATGCACTACTGGGCCGTGCCGCGCATATTATCGCAACCGTAGATCGGCGAGATGCACCATTGGGCCTCGCCGAGCTAGTATAGGAAGGATTGACATCGTGAATCAACAACAAAAGTTTCGAGTTTCAGGAGTATTGGGAAATATAATGGGTTTTATGGAACCCCTGTTTTACGACAGATTGTCGTGAAGTATATCTATTTATAGATACAGGGGGAGCTGAAACCAGGTTTTCGATCAAACATTGCCATTTGTAGTCAATGGTCGCCAACAGTTGCTTTCGTCCAATGAAATCGCTGCATTATGAAAGCCAAGCTTCGCATACGAATATATGTAAGTCAATTATGCATAATGGCAGGCAAAATGCAGCGAAAGCAACTGTTGGCGACGTTTGACTACAAATGGCAGCGTTTGATCGAAAACCTGGTTCAGCCCCCCTGTGTTATATATTTTGTATGTATAGACCCTTTGGCAGTCAATAATAAGTTATATTTAAGTGTCCGTAGATACTCGTATAATATTTGTACCGTCGACGAGTCCAACTCGGCGCGCGTCCTGGTAGGTTGTAAACCTACAACGTAGATCCAAAGGCTACAGGATACAGCCATCTCGAACCACAGGTCTTGAAGATAATCGTTTAGACTTCAATTTACATTATATAACAAAATTATTAAAGGCGCAATCACCACTTGACGACTTCATCAAGTTAACCGGTTTTGTAACTTGGTTTTTGACAAAGTTACAACTTTTGAATGTTAAAATCGATTTTACACCATTAAGATGCAATTTAATTCAAAATTTGAGATCATACTGAAGTTAGATAATTGTTTAAGCATTCTGAAAATCTATTGGAAAGATTTCTTATTTTGTTCCTTCATTGTTCATAAAAATATTCGCTATTGAAGTTAAGAATAATCTTATAAAAACACCCATTTTGTGATTAGCTCAGTTCTGCTTCCTATGGGTCTATTGTGCATTAGGCTAGATTAAAAGATATGTGGGGACATGCCCAAATCGATGGAAAATTGCTAAAATAGCTGAAAATTGCTATTATCATGATTTTTATCAACTTTGGAGGAACGTTATGATGCAAGTTCTTCTTGGAATCTCTTAAAACTTTTCATGCTTATCAAACTATATTTAAAATACCAACGTGCAAAAATGTATGGTGATTCAATAATAGCTGCGCACGCAACGCCCGCTCAAAGTTTGCACGTACAAAAGGTGAGAATTTTGCTCATTCGTGAGAGTATAAAGTGGCATATTCAGTTAGTAATCGACATATAGGCTTACCTTAACACAAGGACAATTTCGAAATCGTTGAAATAAACCTCCTTATTAATGACGCTATCAGTTTATATTTCGACTTAGTAAAGTACCCTGACATTAATCAAAAAGAGATGAAATTTGACCAAAAGCCATAATTGGGTAGAGTGGACCAGTGTCTGTCTTTCCCAAACAAAAGGACATTATACTAATTTGAATGACCTTCTACAAATGCAAAATGATACCGAGAATGAAATCGGTCGCTCGCTTTTCCCAATACTCAGCAATAACGATTCAATAACTGTGAAGTTTTAGTCAAGGAAACGGCAGAAAATCTTCTATTAAAACATCCTCCAAAAGCCAATACATAAGCCAAGCATAAAATGATACAATCAATCAAGCCATGTGATGCAATTGGCAGAGCACAGTACCCTGGAAACAGAAATGGGCCATTGCTACCAAAATTAATTGAAATCTTTATATTTTCATCATGTCCCAAAACAAATATCAAGTTCTGCCAAGAATATCGGAGCAATATAAGTGCAGTAGCAAGAATAATATAAACAATCATAAGATTCACCTGTTGTAGTAAGGTTGAAAGGATGAACTGAACATGAGCTCCCTTAAGGGGGCCGGGGGGGTCTTCATCAAAATTCTCTCGAAATTGACTTTATAGTTGTTTCTGGTAGAAGGGAGTGATATCTACCAGCTGCTTTTGGTCCCATGGAAAAATATTGTTCCTAGCCGAAATTATCGCCGGTCTAAGATCAGCGCTTATGTGTAATTGTATTGCGCGAGCGATTTTCAATCACAAATTCTGAAAATCGAGTCTAAAAATCTATCTTCTCCTACATTTTTTGAGCAATCACCCTGAAACTTTCAGGATATGTTCTAGGGACCATTTAGAAGAGATCATTTAAGCCAAAATTTTGAGATTCAATTTTGAAAAAAACGAGGTCCAAGATTTTCAAAATTTAATAAAAAATTTTTAAAGGCCTATCTGAAAATCGCTCGCGCAATACAATTACACATAAGCGCTGACCTTAGACCGGCGATAATTTCGGCTAGGAACAATATTTTTCCATGGGACCAAAAGCAGCTGGTAGATATCACTCCCTTTTACCAGAAACAACTATAAAGTCAATTTCGAGAGAATTTTGATGAAGACCCCCCCAGCCCCCTTGACTGCTTTCCCCTGACACCTCAAACGGCTATGAGGACCCTCAGAAGTAGAGAGAAGCGAAGACTTGTCCTTAGTACGATATTTTGGCTGCCGCCTACTTTATGACCTTGGTCTAGCTTGGTCCTGAGCCTCCTGTAGTCAAGAAGACAAGAAGTTCAAATTATTCTTTCTCAGTTTTCAAGACCCGATCTTGATAAAGGTGGCTTTTCTCCTTCTCTTTTCTCGCATATAGTACAGGAAGACTGACATGAACAGCAACATTTGATGCAGCATATGGATGAGACACCCTTATGACTTGACTGCTTGATTCGAGAAAAGTTTTAAAAATTTTATTTTTCATTGTTTAATTCAATAGAAAGTTAATTTAAAGTATCTAAAAGCATTTATTGCAATAGGAAAAGAACGGCCAGATGTGTGGAATCTTTGCCTATCTCAATTTTTGTGTCCCATGTCAAAGACAAAACGTATATGAAATCCTTTTAAGAGGATTGGAACGTCTTGAGTACCGTGGATATGACTCAGCAGGTTAGTGCCATGTAGTGCTCCCAAATCAAGCAGGTCTGTATCAATTTACTGTACAATTTACCAATAGCCTAACAGACGGTATTGTACTTGCAAGGACATTACTTTTATTTAAACATTCAAAGTCACAAAAATTCAGCTCTTCAGTATTTAACTTGGTTAATTGCAGGGATTGCAGTTGATTACCCAGAGGAAGGTGTTCATATCGTGAGGAAGCAAGGAAAAGTTAAAATGCTCCGTGGCATAGTTTTTGGTATGTTTAAATTTTAATAACTATGAAATATAAAGATACATCAACAAATTCTGTAATTTTTTGCCTGTGATGGAGTTTATATCTAGTCTTCTTTATTCTCAACAAGGAGCTCTGATCAAACCGTCCATGATCCCAGAAGGTTTTCTCTGCTTGTGATAATCTATTATTTCAAACTGTTGCAGATATTGAGAAGGCAGAGTACAGTTCAATAGTAAGCACCCATGTTGGTATTGCACATACAAGGTGGGCAACTCACGGTGAACCCAGCGAACGTAACTCTCACCCTCAGGTAAACACATTACAGATCAACATACTGATATTAAGCATCATGAAATTATTTAACTATATCATTTTGTAATGATCGCTTTAAAAATTTTATTGTTACTCTAATTACTGTACAGGGTATAATAAGTCAGTGTAAAAATATCTACAAATTGCAAAAATGAACCTTTGTTTAAAAATGAACATTATCATTACTTGATTTGATATTATATTCCTCGAATAAGTGATGATAGCAAGTCATAACAGAAAGAATTATATTAATCGGGCACTCAGTGGCTGAAAAATAAGCCCGAACGTTTGTACACTGACTTATGTACACTACGTTATGGCCCACCCAGCACCCTGTATATTAAATACTGGTTCTCTCAGTCGTCTGGCGAAGACAACAGCTTTATGGTGGTACACAATGGTATTATCACTAACTTCAAGGACATCAAACAGTTTCTGGTAAGCTTAAACTTTAATTTACTGTTACTTTCATTTTCACTTCTTCCGTCAATTTCCATTTTACTTATACGTTCGATTTCACCTTCACTTATAAGTGAACGTATTTATAAATACCTTAGGACTATATTTTTAGCTGTATATTACTAAAACACTTATTAAAAATGTATTATTTTAATGCAGATTTATTCTAATTTAAGTAATTATGTAATTAGGAGAAAGAGAACTACACGTTTACAAGTGATACTGACACAGAGGTCATACCCAAGCTAACCCACTACATATACCATCACACTGAGGAGGGGGAGACACTCACCTTCCCAGAGGTGGTCGAGAGAGTCATCTCTCAACTGGTTAGTTAATTAGTTAATTAATTAGTTTTATAGAAATTTTAGGGATTGCTGATGATCAGGGGAGGGGTAGGGATTGTTTTGAATAATTATAATATGTTGCGAATTACAGAATGGTAAAGTGATAACGGTAAGATATGTTACCTACAGAACGTACATTATCGGTAATATATTAAATACGTAACGTTTTGAAAACTTTGCAGATTTGCAGATTATCATCTGCCGATAAGGAATATATGAAATTCCTTTGAAACAGTGTAGAATTACAAAGAAATAATGTAGAATTACTTGTCAACAGCCAAGAAAATATCGTGTGTCAGTCTATAATCTAGGGTTCAAAATTTGGGGGAAAGGGGAGAGGTACGGTAAATCTGGGCTTTACTTTACACGTTTTCAAGTCTTAACGCACTGAATTCCCCCGCCCCCCCCCCCGCCCCCCTTTATTTTCCTCATACATATGTCTTTAAAGAGATTAAGCCCCTAAAATACCTAACCCCCCAGGAAGGAGCATTTGCCCTGGTGTTCAAGTCGACAGTGTTCCCAAAACAGATAGTAGCTGTGAAGCGAGGTAGCCCTCTCCTAGTTGGCATCAAGAGTGAAAGAGATATCTCCATGGACAAAGTTAACATCAGTTACAGACAGAGACAAAGCTCTGGAGACGACAGAGCTTTTAATGAGGGGGGGCAATCTGCTGAGTACTTCTTCGCTTCTGATGCTAGGTTAAAGTTCTGCTGATTTTACTCGCTGCTTAGAATTAGTAGTATGTTTAAAATAACACCCCCCTCCCTAAAATAATACCCCTCTCCCTCAGTGCCCTGATAGAGCACACAGATAGAGTTATTTACCTAGAAGATGACGATATCACCTCTATTGTCGATGGAAGTGAGTTTTATTTTCAGTTCCTCCCTCATATCAAATTGTTAAAATTTTATTGTTGTTTATTCAAATTTCACTTGTTTTTTGCAAATACTTCTGTTCCTATTATCTCGCGGTGTTTTGTAGATTATCTGAGATAAGTGTACTGTTTCTTTCTTAATAAATAATTTATCAACTCTTTTTTAGACCTGAGACATCTTTCTCCTGCAAGTATAAGTAACTTCAAGATTTAAAGCTAATCTACGTGTTAAATCCACATCTACAGTCTACACTCATTAGAAACACGTTGTAGGAGCCACGTTTGCAGATTTGGGTGGACCTCACTGAGTAGTGTGTAGCGTATAGGACACACACCAATAACATGACTTGTAGTACAACGTGTATATATTACCGTGTAGAGGCTGGAGTCATGGTAGCGTGTGTGGGATACAGGTGGGGGGGGGGGGGGGGGGGCGGGGGTTAACTGTTTAATGTACAGTTTTATAATTACAACTTAATCAGGAGCTGCTCAATAAAACGAACATTTTATGTGAAAGAGTTAGACCACACGGTTACGGGAACATCAAAAATTAACTCAATTAACATTATGACCATTAAAAATACCGACCTTTCAAAATATTTCGGGATGACCCAAAACCCGCTAATTTTTAACCGCCATAATATTAATGACAAATAAATAATTATTACATACTGCTGTCTTATATAGTACTACTAATAGTAATACAAATACAGTAACTAAAACTTATATTTCATATTTTGAAAAACAATTAAAGGTGCATTTTTCTAATGACTCAGCTCGTGAGTTGAAGAGATTATACTATTACATAAAAGAGCAAGCTTTAAAAGTTACAATCTTTCCAATTACCATCTTATCGTCTATTTTAGAGAAGTATTGCTTCTATCTTATAGCTTATTAGCTAATTAGCTAATTAGCTAATTAGCTAATTAGCTAATTAGTTAATTAGCTAGCTGCTCAGCTATCTGATCGCTAATTTCCAGACATCAAGGCGTGTGTTCAACTCTTCTTTTAAAAATGAAGAGTCTTCTTTTGGTGAATTCTTTAAAGGGGGGGTTAACAGCATAATATACAAACGGGTTTACCCAAACAGATAGAAATGCTACTGACACTGCTATTTCGCTGTATTCCAGAGGCAAATCCGTCATATAATTACCAAGAATGAGATCTAGAAAGTGCGGAATGAAGGAAATAAGAAATATAACCGTCACAATGACAACCATCAGAAGTTTCCTTTTGTTGATCGCTGAATTTGATTTCTTCAGTGCAAATATTATCAGAGCTGAGTTAATGATGACCAGGGTAATACAAGGAAGAGCTCCGAAGATGAAAAATAACCCAAAAATAATAATCTTCCTAGTGGACCCTATTTTGTCATTGCGATACGGCTTTCCTATTCTTGCTGCTCCTAAGTAATCTTTCATCCTCCACTCTTCGGAAATAGTTAGAAAACCATCTAGAAGTCCGTACACAGTCCAAAGTGTAAGTATAGAACTGACCAGAACTGTAAATATTGTTACCTTGATTCTCTGGCACCGTGTGGAGGTAAGATTCCTTAGTGGGTACACGCACCTCTCCAGCTTATTCAGTGACAATATATTGACGAGAAATAGATTAGCAACAAAAAATGTGTACAAGTAGCTACCCAAGTAAGCGTAGAAAGTTTCTCCGAATATAAGAGTCTGGTTCAATTTGCCATATTGAGTGAGAAGGAAGGGGAGTAGAACAAGCACACGGTTACCAATATCTGCTACTGCTAGATTCTTTATTATCCAGATAGAGAGTTTGTCTAGTTTTATAGCGTTGTGGTTAATTGTTGCGTGCAGAACGAAAACATTTCCAAATATGCCCAGAATAAAAGAGATCTGTTCCCAAACTATCTGCAGTAGGTAGATCATCATTACCTATCTGAGAGAAGTTTGGTCAGGATTGTGTGGGAGATACAATCATCACAAATAAACATTTATCTTCTGTCTAAGGTTAACAGAAAGAACTAGAGAAAAGTGAATTAAGGCTCTGACCTAAGTTATGTACGTGAAAATTATATTTTATAGCTGATGTAGGGACATTAGTATCATAACTCATTAGCTGAGGCATGCTTGGTAACCATAGTAACCATAGTAACCATAATAACTTGTAGCCTTAATAACTTAGTCTTCCGAAAACACGCATTTGTGATTATGTCCTTAAGTGAATGGTTTGACCTGTTGTTTACGCTGATGTATTAATAAGTGAATATATTTGTTAACTTATCTTTGAATTCGAAAACAATTAAATTTCAAGTGAATAGGAAATGTAACCAGAGATAGTTGGTCCACAGTTGTATGTTCAAATTTATTAAATTGTTGTCAGAATTAAAATACCAGAATATAGCTTGCCCTCGCTTTGTCCACAGTTCTTATACACAGTTTGTTATAGCTCTTTACACGAGTATCCTGACCAGGAATGGTCTGAGGTTTTGCAAATATAATTAAAAAATTGGATAGTAAAAAGTATCTTATCAGGTTTGAGAATAAACCGGCTTCAGAAACACGCCAAAACAGACGAGACCGCCTCTAGACAAATAACTACACTCAGACTACAGCTACAGCAAATCATGAAGGGTAACAACTTTATAATTCTAATTTTATTGAATAATTATCAGTTTCTTATTTTGCACAAAATGTTTTAAAACTCTATTTAGTGAATGTTATATATCTTTGGTTTAGGGATGTTGATAAGAGAGGCTATTAACTACTCCACCTATTACAGGTAATTACTATTACCTACTATTACAGGTAACTTCTATTACCTACTATTACAGGTAACTTCTATTACCTACTATTACAGGTAACTTCTATTACCTACTATTACAGGTAACTACTCGACCTTTATGGAGAAGGAGATACACGAGCAACCTGAAAGTATCCTCAACACGATGAGAGGAAGAATTGACTTTAGCACTGACACGGTACTGTACCTGTAACTGTAACTGTAACTGTAACTGTAACTGTAACTGTAACTGTAACTGTAACTGTAACTGTAACTGTAACTGTAACTGTAACTGTAACTGTAACTGTAACTGTAACCGTAACCGTAACTGTAACTGTAACTGTAACTGTAACTGTAACTGTAACTGTAACTACAGTAAATTATTGTTGTTAACAAGATCTGCTAAACATTAAAACTAAGAACCTGATTTACACTTAGTATTTTGTATTGATATTTACCAAGCTATTAAGAGAAAGCAATTTATCGGCCTTCAGAGACGTTTGTGAAGTGTTTGTTAGTTAATAAGAGTAATTCTACAGGTGAGGCTAGGAGGATTAATTTCTCACGCGAGTGCGATTAAAAGATGTAGGAGAATTATTGTTATCGCTAGTGGTACTTCATACAACAGGTGCAAAATTGTTCAGTTTAATTTATTGTCCAATTAATATTAGCCCATAAACGCATGTGTACCGCTTCACACTTTGACTCAAATGCTAAATCTTGATTAAGAGATTGATAACGATTCTACTAAAGTACTAACTCACATCTCCCAACAAACTAACATTTCCCTATTACAGCGGGGTAGCAACAAGGCAGTTACTGGAGGAGCTATCTGATGTGCCTGTAGTTATTGAACTGGGTTCTGATTTCCTGGACAGACTCTGCCCTGTTTTTAGAGATGATGTCTGTATCTTTATATCTCAATCTGGTTGGTATATTTAATAATTTACTAGGGTGACATTTTGGAAGATGCAATGTTACATTCATCGCAAAAGGACCATTTTTCAGTGTCTAAAAGCTTGGATATTATTGATTAACTGTTAATTTAGAATTAGTTAACAACAGTAACCTCCGCAAGCAATAACACCTTATATATCAGGAGAGACAGCCGACACACTGAACGCACTGAGATACTGTAAATCACGTGGAGCACTATTAGTTGGTATTACAAACACTGTGGGGAGTGCCATATCACGGGAGACTGATTGTGGTATTCACATTAACGCGGGCCCTGAAATCGGTGTGGCCAGTACCAAGGTGAATATAAAGTGTAAATTTCTATTATCCATTATCTATCTATAATCTATATTCTCTATAATATGTATTGTATATTTCTCACAAAACAGTGCACAATTTGAATTTTTAATTTTTGATTAAAATTTCAGGCCTACACGAGTCAAATAGTTTCTATGGTGATGTTATCAGTAATGATTGGAAGCGACAGGATCTCAAAACAGAAGAGGTGTACTGAAATAGTTCAAGGACTTAAAGAGTTGCCAGGTTTCATTCTTTAAATTATCTGCAGACGGTATTTCTTACAAGTTACACGTGTTAAAACCAATCACACGGTCCGTGTCCCTTGCTCCTCGCTATTACTGAAAACGGTCTACTGGAGTTGGAATTTGGAACGCGCGATCATAATTTTATGGTAATATGTGCGCTGCATTCTGACGCGCGCATGCCAGTCAAATGGAAAAGATAAAGCAAAGGTATGAAGGCGAGGGTTTGCAGATTTTAGAGGCGGTAACATCAGAATGGAAACCTACTTGGCCAGGACAAAATTCAAAGCTTCACCAAAAAGATAGAACGCTCTAACACCTAACTAAATATCAAGAGCACTGAAATAACTTGAAGTAGGGATAAAACTTATAATATTCTCAAATGAATAATTACTTGGGGACCCCAGGCTTAGAGTTCATAAACACAATGAAACCAAACGAAGATATGGCGAAGTGACAGGCTGAGCGCCGCCCAGTAAATAAATAATTAAGCTTAAGTCTGTTTTGCCGTCCAATAATTTTAATTAATATATCGACTATTTTATTTCCTGTCTTGCGTTTAAAAAACAAAATTGTAAAATTTGCCCAGTTTTTACATGTTTTATTTCAGATCTGATCAGGAGAGTGTTAAAGAAGGATCATGAGATTTTATCTCTCGCCAAGGAGTTGTATGATGAGAAGAGTTTACTTTTAATGGGGCGTGGTTACAACTATGCGACCTGTCTGGAGGGAGCTCTCAAAGTCAAGGAGGTTATTAATAATAATAAATTGAAGTTTAATAACACTATTATTCAGATGAAACTTATACTCAGCAGTGTTTAATCCAAACATCTTAAAAGTGTACTTTATTATTAATTTGTGGTTTTCTGTTTAATATTGCTGAGCTAATATTATCTATATGGTTTAGGTATTTAATTAACAATCGTCCCGTGATTCTATACCGGTCAATGATAGTCCCTCTATTAAACATTTCCTATAAGTAAAGTTAAACTAATTAAAGTAATATCCCAGGTGTCGTACATGCACAGTGAGGGAATACTGTCAGGTGAACTAAAACACGGCCCTCTAGCCCTGGTTGACGAGAACATGCCGTGCGTTATTGTGGTAGTGAAAGATAATACCTACACCAAGTGCCACAACGCATTGCAACAGGTAACCTGCCATTTACCATCTTCAAACAAAAGCAGGAATGTTCATGAGAGGAAATTCATAAAATAATTAATTTGAGAGTGTTCTCTAATCATGTTAATGGATGAAATAAGTAACCTATCTTAAGCTATTTAAACTGTCCCTTCCAGGTAAAAGCAAGACAAGGCAGACCAATCACAATCTGTGAAGAGGGCGACTCAGACGTTCAAAGTAAGTGCTGTGTACACTATAATAAATATATAGCAACTGTGTATATCAGCACATGTTACAGTTGTGTAAATACTCGTTTAGTGTTAATATCCGAGTTTATTCCATTTAAAATAAATTATACCAATATTAGATACACTGTATTGTCAATTTAATGAGCTGAAATACACCCTTAATTTATATGTTTATTTAAATTCCCTGATTTTTCCAACCTTTAAGTGTTAAGCTAACACTTATTGTTCAGGTATGAGCTACAGATCATTCTCGCTGCCCAGCTCAGTTGACTGTCTGATGAATATTCTAGCTGTAATCCCCCTCCAGCTCCTCTCATTCCATCTGGCCACTCTGAAGGGGCTGGATGTTGACTGCCCCAGAAACTTAGCTAAGAGTGTGACAACAGAATAAAACACTGACTGTAACCATGGTTACGGTATCTATTTAATTGGGGATGTTGTTATTTTAAATAGAGTTTTAATTTGCATTTAATAGCCTTGGATATTCAATAGACTGTAGATGTTTAAATTCCATTTTTAGGTGACTTTGTTTACGGAATAGTGTTGATTTGCGTATGAATTAAGATTACTCATAAATTAAACTTATTTAAATAATTTGCATGTAAAGAGTCACATGATTTAATTAGATTTGTTAAACGAATTTATTCAATCAAAAAATGTAATTTATGTAGAAAGTAGCTTTTATGTTCACCATTCGTCATTTTATTGTCATGATGCTAAATATTGCTAGTTTATTTCCTGTTTAAATTTAATGTAATTATATGTTATTTTTGACAATTTCAGTAATTCTTTCATCGTCACTGAGAGTGAGAACAAGAAAATATTCGTTGTTTTTTAGTCAAAAGTTGAAAACTAATTGAAATTTCATAAAATGAATATATAGAATCCTGTTCCTTCTTGCCGTAGAGTCGACTTCTGCCACAATTGGAATGCGTTTTCACGGTTAAAACTTGTGAAAAACGTTTTTGAACAAAAATCGTTCAAAAGTGCTTGTTTTTGGATTTTAAAAGTTTATCTGTACACGATTGAACAGAGAATGAGTGGATCATACTAAATAAAATTGTATAATGTAATAAAGTTGACTAACTAAATATATGAAATATATTCATTATAATATGTAATAAGTTAGTGTAAGAGTAACAGCTTGCAGGTTATTTCTTAAAAGCTGCCTAAAACGATGAAAAGTACCACAGGATGGTAGATAGTACATACTGTGTACTGACTCGTACATGCTGCATGCTGGTTAGTTCATCATAATGTGTCCCTCCTCAGTCCTCATATTCCGCACATTTGTTTCATCTGCACCGGGAACATCAAACAGTGCTCCATGAAACTGTCCGAGAAATATTGACAATGTTCCGACACTTTATTCCTCACATTTTCTACAATTAATGTACACGGGGCTTTGTCTATAAAATCTGACTTAGTGTAGAGTCAATGTTGCAGTTATCCGATCTATCACTTTCACTTTCACTTTCACTTTCACTTTCACTGTCACACCTCGGACATCTGAAGTGAGGTGGAAACTCGAACCTTCTTTTTCTGTTTACTCTTCTCTTTTGCTGGTTGTGGAATCTGGGGCATTGGTTGTAAAAAAGCACTGTGAATGACAATAAAGCGGTAAAATGTATGATTGATACAGAATGGTACGTAACTTACAAAGCATCAAATTAGTATTGGAGTTGGAGACATTAATATTGTCGGCCGAATAGTTTAATAGTAGTAGTTATACTTCTTAATAATTGGTAACCTTTCTAGTTTTCAAGGTGTGCTAATAGTAATATCTACCTCGTAGGAGAGTTCCTTAAGAAGATTGTTGAAGATATCTAGTGGTAGCCAGGAGGCCCAGCACAGGACTCTAGCGAATAATCTACTTGTTTCCGCGCAGTCCGGATCTACAGGCTGAACTGCCACGTTATTCAGATCATTACACGACCTAAAAGTAAAGTGTAAATGTCACGTGAAGCCCATATAAGGAGTTGAAGTCAGAATATCCGCTCTAATATCAGCCTAGTAGTACTTGTTCATCCAGCAAAAGTAGACACGATAAATTTGAATATAATCCAGCTATGCTGGGTAAGTCGGTAAGAGTTCTTAATGAAAATCTAATGTACAACTTACCGCACACTATAGCCACAGTTGGTAAGCATGGTTATTTCGTACGTCCTGCAGACAAACTTAGGACGAGGAAATGTTACTTTTCCCGACACTCCAGAGATCATTTTTAGCTGCGGGGTATTAAGGTTGTCTCAGTTCAGTATTTGGTGTTAGAATTTGAAATTAACAGCTCTTTTGGATAATGGTTTTTATTATATCATTTTATGATCTTATAAGATTTGATGAAGCATATTATTGTCAATATTCATATTGCATATATTAAAGTTAAATAAATGTACTTTGACTATTCTATGTCGCAAGATAATGAAAAGTGTTCGTCACAACTAAACTTACCAGTCTCATGGCACGTGTTACTTACCAGTCTCATGGCACGTGTTACTTACCAGTCTCGTAGCACGTGTTACTTACAAGTCTCGTAGCACGTGTTACTTACAAGTCTCATGGCACGTGTTACTTACCAGTCTCATGGCACGTGTTACTTACCAGTCTCATAGCACGTGTTACTTACAAGTCTCATGGCACGTGTTACTTACCAGTCTCATGGCACGTGTTACTTACCAGTCTCATAGCACGTGTTACTTACCAGTCTCATAGCACGTGTTACTTACCAGTCTCATAGCACGTGTTACTTACCAGTCTCATAGCACGTGTTATTTACCAGTCTCATAGCACGTGTTACTTACCAGTCTCATAGCACGTGTTACTTACCAGTCTCATAGCACGTGTTACTTACCAGTCTCATAGCACGTGTTACTTACCAGTCTCATAGCAAGTGTTACTTACCAGTCTCATAGCACGTGTTACTTACCAGTCTCATAGCACGTGGTATGGCTGACTTGTCTCTGAGAGACGTCTTTAACACTGGGTAGAGACCGTGAAGACACCTCGTGATGAACGAGGAACCGATTACAGCTGAAATGAGACATAATCAGTGTTTACTGTTTAAATACACATACAACATGTGTCAAAACGTTTTGTCGTTTTGTCAAACATGTGCAAAAATGAAAAGTGTAAAGAAGGAAAAAATTGACTTTTCTAAACTTAGGAAAACTAATCATTCACCAAATAGTAAATATATTTTCAGAACTCACAATCAGTGTGAATGATTCTAGTTGCATCTAAACTACTGATAAGGTCGGAGCTAACTAAGTTCTCAGCAGATTGGGATAGTTCCCAGTTCTCCAGCAGCGTCATTCTTCCCTGACTGTCGAGAACGAAGTCGCAGGTCTTGAAAGCTATCGGACAATTAGTTTGAACTGCCCCAATTCCTCTGAAAGTTATTAAAGTTATTTGCAATTCCTCTTAAAGTAATTAACGTTATTTGCAATTGTGAATTGGTTGATATCACTTTACACAATATTATATATATATATATATATATATTAGTACTAGTTATTTGATTTTGTTACTGATCAACAATTTGTTTTTAACTGCTTTCTTACTAACTGGTTATTAACTGGTTACTAACAGGTTATTAACTGTTTACTAACTGGTTAGTAACTGGTTACTAACAGGTTATTAACTGTTTACTAACTGGTTAGTAACTGGTTACTAACTGGTTACTAACTGGTTACTAACTGGTTACTAACTGGCTACTAACTGGCTACTAACTGGTTACTTACTGGTTACTAACTGGTTACTTACTGGTTACTAACTGGTTACTAACTGGTTACTAACTGGTTACTAACTGGTTACTAACTGGTTACTAACTGGTTACTAACTGGTTGCTAACTGGTTACTAACTGGTTACTAACTGGTTACTAACTGGTTATTAACTGTTTATAAACTGGTTACTAACTGGTTACTAACTGTTTATTAACTGGTTACTAACTGGTTACTAAGTTATTACCTGCACACAACGTCTCTCAGTGAGTTGAACTGTGTGTACTGCGTTACAAAAACGTCGTCTGGTATCTCAGTCATGTACGCTGTCTGAGCAAATGGAGTGTTACAGTCTAACTCTGCAATATTGGAATTTGGAAACACACAAATTTGTAGTCTAAGATTGAGTAAAATTGAAATTGAATTCTATTAAATTTGATAAAATAAATGAAGCTAAATAACAATTAAAACCTAGTGCCTTAGAACAGTACAAAATGTGAAGGATATACCTGCTACTACTACTACTATTATCATAGTAGTACTATGATTATAGTACAGACAGATCCGTCTGAAAAAAATCGATCTACCGACACAAGAAGCTTCCAAAGGACTTTTGACGCGTTTTCGAGTCCTATCAGGTGCCCTTTAAGGCTGACCAACTTTTCCAAACTTTTCCACGTGTCTTCAGGCCACTTTTTGCCACTTTTACCACTTTTTACCACCTTTCTTGTTTGTCGAATATCTTTATTTGTGAACATCGTAGAATGTTGCAGATTAAATCGAGGGTGTTCATCTTACCAGGGAGAAAAACTTTTGTGAAGACAATTTTTACGTCAGACAATAAGCTAATTAGCAACAATGTAATTTTTTTTATTGGCTCAAAATGATCGGAATAGGTTAAAACAAGATAATCACATTTGTAATAAATAAAACTTCTCTGTACCGTCAATCGTGCTAATCTAAACCGGCCTACCTGGATACATCAGACCTCTTCTTTTCCTCAACAATCGGACCGAGTTGTGCAATAAATGTGATTTATAATTATCATAGCTCATATCGCATTTGGTAGGTGATGTAATGTAAGTTAATATCTATACCGTACACTTCTCGTTCCTCCCGCGAGAGGCCCGGTATAGAGAAGTTTTTACGAAAACGTCTACTACTCTACTTGGCTTCATGGCTCATTGACAGGTCGGAGAAGGCAAGAAAAGACCAGAAAGACTCACAACATCCCAATTCCATATCAACATCCTTAATAACAATCCTTCCTGATCTGTCCCGTCGTCTCTAAGAAATTTCCAAGAAATACTGACTCTAGTTTGATAGTTGGTGACGAAGTGAGAGTCTCCACTCAGTGTTTCAAAACAATTAGTTTTCGACGTTTCGGAAACACGCCTTTGTCACGTCGACAACTTATTGTTCTGAAACACTGAGTGGAGACTCTCACTTCGTCACCAACTATCAAACTATATGATCGACCCACTCATAAGAGCGAAGTAAGATTACAAATACTGACTCTCCTGGAACTCATTAAACAAAATTGATTACTACCGTTTCTTTACTACCCCTTAATCATTGAAATCTATAAAATGATAGTACATCAGGCTATCGGTTCGATCTTGAATGTGCCTTTGGTGCAGTTTCTGTGAAAATCGATAAGACTGTACTATAATCAATTATAAAACTATAATAATCGTGTGGTTAACGTTTATCAGTTTCAGACCTTTCCACTTAGTTTAAATAGTAATTCCTGGTTACTAAAATCTGCCGAGATTTATTGAACTCTAACTAAAAATATTGGTGATTTTAGTATTCTTGAAACGAAAAAATACGGAGTTTAAAAAAAAGCATTTTTCTTTTGATCACTTTTGGCGACAAAAATATTTCGAAATTTTTCCAAATCTCGAAAAAAATGCATGTGAAAAAGTTTCGAAGTTTTTCTAAAACCTACTTTTCTCCTTGTTTTAAGCTTTTCCGGTCATTTTGAGCCAATCAAAAAATTGTAATTTTAATTATCCAATTAACTGATTGTCTGACGTAAAAATTGTCTCTACAAAAGTTTTTTCCCTGATAAGATGAACACCCTCGATTTATCTGCAACATTCTACGATGTTCATAAATAAAGATATTCGACAAACAAGAAAGGTGGTAAACAGTGGTAAAAATGGAAAAAATTGGCCTTAAGGCACGTGGAAAAGTTAGGAAAAATTGGTCAGCCATGAAGGGCAGCTAATAGGACTCAAAAACGTCAAAAATCCTTTGGAAGCTTCTTGTGTCCGTAGATCGATTTTTTTTAGACGGATCTGTCTGTATTACTACTACTACTACTACTATACCTGAAGATCCCCTAGAAACTTTAACCGAGATGAGATGACTACAGAGTAGATCAAATGGTAAACCTGTCCCGGAACCAGCTGGTCTACGTTAAACCTGGCTGTGTGCAGCAAATCCTGAATAAAGAAACGTGTCACGTGATTATTATTTATATTGGATAGAGAAATATCAATCTGGCACTCCTTCTGCAATATCCTTAACAAATTATGTAAATTTGTGGTGCTGATTCTGTTTTAAAATAGTGTTGTGATGTTAGATTCTTTACTTACTTACTTGAGTAATAAATTTATAATGCAGTCCGTCGAAAAGCACGTACGCAAAATAATTCTCGAGTTATAAGGCATCCCGTCGAAAATCACGTATGTCAAGTTATTCTCGAGCAACATTTCAAGGTAAAACCTGAACGAGGTAAACCCTGAACAAGGTAAACCCTGAACAAGGTAGACCCTGAACAATATAGACCCTGAACAAGGCAGACCCTGAACAAGGTAGACCCTGAACAAGGTAGACTCTGACCAATGTAGACCCTGAACAAGGTAAACCCTGAACAAGGTAAACTTTGAACTAGGTAGACCCTGAACAAGGTAAACCCTGAACAATGTAGACCCTGAACAAGATAAACCCTGAACAAGGTAAACTTTGAACAAGGTAGACCCTGAACAAGGTAAACCCTGAACGAGGTAAACTTTGAACAAGGTAGACTCTGAACAATGTAGACCCTGAACAAGGTAGACCCTGAACAAGGTAAACTTTGAACAAGGTAGACCCTGAACAAGGTAAACCCTGAAAAAGGTAGACCCTGAACAAGGTAAACTTTGAACAAGGTAGACCCTGAACAAGGAAAACCCTGAACAAGGTAGACCCTGAACAAGGTAGACTCTGAACAAAGTAGACCATGAATAAGGTAGACCCTGAACAAGGTAGACCCTGAACAAGGTAAACCCTGAACAATGTAGACCCTGAACAAGGTAAAACCTGAACGAGGTAAACCCTGAACAAGGTAAACCCTGAACAAGGTAGACCCTGAACAAGGTAGACCCTGAACAAGGTAGACCCTGAACAATGTAGACCCTGAACAAGGTAGACCCTGAACAAGGTAAACCCTGAACAAGGTAGACCCTGAACAAGGTAGACCCTGAACAATGTAGACCCTGAACAAGGTAGACCCTGAACAAGGTAGACCCTGAACAAGGTAAACTTTGAACAAAGTAGACCCTGAAAAGTGAACACTCACCCTAAGATGGTCGATGTTGATGCTTTTGACGACAACATCCCCCAAATCAACAGCAGCGTGATACACTTTGCTAGTCTTGTAGTCGTAGTGATCTATTACTGGTATATCCTCAACAAACTTCAGGTCCGTCCACTCGTCGTGGAACCTGGTAGTAAACACTATTAGAACACGCGGGTGTGACACAGTAGTAAACACGCGGGTGTGACACATATCACTACTTACTTACTTATTCATCAGAGAGACTGAATAGAAGGTTGTCGAATAAAATTTCTTTTCAGTCTTTTCAGTTATTTTATGCTATCAGTATTATGTTACTAGTTTCTGGGTTACAACCTGGTAACTGATACAATATGTAGTTATGTGATATTAAACAGAGACGTGGTCAAAAAGCAATTGTGCTGATTGACTGATAAATAGCCTGGTAGGGGATGATGTAAGTTACCTGATAAATATCCTGGTAGGGGATGAAGTAAGTTACCTGATGAATAGCCTGGTAGGGGATGATGTAAGTTACCTGATAAATAGCCTGGTAGGGGATGATGTAAGTTACCTGATAAATAGCCTGGTAGGGGATGATGTAAGTTACCTGATGAATATCCTGGTAGGGGATGAAGTAAGTTACCTGATGAATAGCCTGGTAGGGGATGATGTAAGTTACCTGATGAATAGCCTGGTAGGGGATGATGTAAGTTACCTGATGAATAGCCTGGTAGGGGATGATGTAAGTTACCTGATAAATAGCCTGGTAGGGGATGATGTAAGTTACCTGATAAATAGCCTGGTAGGGGATGATGTAAGTTACCTGATGAATATCCTGGTAGGGGATGAAGTAAGTTACCTGATGAATAGCCTGGTAGGGGACGATGTAAGTTACCTGATGAATAGCCTGGTAGGGGATGATGTAAGTTACCTGATGAATAGCCTGGTAGGGGATGATGTAAGTTACCTGATGAATAGCCTGGTAGGGGATGATGTAAGTTACCTGATAAATATCCTGGTAGGGGATGATGTAAGTTACCTGATAAATAGCCTGGTAGGGGATGATGTAAGTTACCTGATGAATAGCCTGGTAGGGGATGACTTGTTGATCACCAAAGAGTCCTGTGCGTATAATATGTGGTCCGATAAATTTCCTGAAATGTAAAATAGCTTAATACTTTAATAAAAGAAGTTGGATATTCTCTGAGATTTCTCATTTCTGCAGACTTTAACTAATTGCTGTCTAGGTTATAACCATCTTGTCCAAATAATATGATAGGTTAAGTTTTGTAACTTTATGATGTCTGAGAAGTTCTGACTGAGTCAAATCTACCGAAAAAGCTAAGATATATTAAAATACATCCAATGTTACCGCTAGTTAGTAACCAGCTACGTTACCGCCTAGCTTTGATAGGAACTCACAAGTCACAACTCTTACTTTATATTTCCTGCTTCCTTGCACACACACAGGGGACAAGCTAGTTAACCCAACAAGTTAGGAAATGTCATTCAGCACTCTACTCTGACAGTCTGTCACCAGCAGTACTACTATCCAGTACTATCTGTATATATTGCACCAGCAGTACTACTATCCAGTACTATCTGTATATAGTGCACCAGCAGTACTACTATCCAGTACTATCTGTATATAGTGCACCAGTAGTACTACTATCCAGTACTATCTGTATATAGTGCACCAGTAGTACTACTATCCAGTACTATCTGTATATAGTGCACCAGCAGTACTACTATCCAGTACTATCTGTATATAGTGCACCAGTAGTACTACTATCCAGTACTATCTGTATATAGTGCACCAGTAGTACTACTATCCAGTACTATCTGTATATAGTGCACCAGTAGTAGTACTATCTAGTACTATCTGTATATAGTGCACCAGCAGTACTACTATCCAGTACTATCTGTATATAGTGCACCAGCAGTACTACTATCCAGTACTATCTGTATATTTTTTTTTATTTGAAAATTCAATTAATTATTATATATACAAATCAAGCGTTACATTTCAGCCATGCAAAATTACAATGACATATTTTAATATTCTAATTGAAAAATGGTGCTGCAATATAAGTTGCTTAATGTTTGGCCGGATGACAACTAACTAAAAGAGAAAAATAAACTTGATTACATAATAATTAATTCGGCTGAACCAACACATAGCAAAAGCCACATTAACGTTGGGGCCGTCAAAAAATATAGTGCACCAGTAGTACTACTATCCAGTACTATCTGTATATAGTGCACCAGTAGTAGTACTATCTAGTACTATCTGTATATAGTGCACCAGCAGTACTACTATCCAGTACTATCTGTATATAGTGCACCAGTAGTACTACTATCCAGTACTATCTGTATATAGTGCACCAGCAGTACTACTATCCAGTACTATCTGTATATAGTGCACCAGCAGTACTACTATCCAGTACTATCTGTATATAGTGCACCAGCAGTACTACTATCCAGTACTATCTGTATATAGTGCACCAGTAGTACTACTATCCAGTACTATCTGTATATAGTGCACCAGTAGTACTACTATCCAGTACTATCTGTATATAGTGCACCAGCAGTACTACTATCCAGTACTATCTGTATATAGTGCACCAGCAGTACTACTATCCAGTACTATCTGTATATAGTGCACCAGTAGTACTACTATCCAGTACTATCTGTATATAGTGCACCAGCAGTACTACTATCCAGTACTATCTGTATATAGTGCACCAGCAGTACTACTATCCAGTACTATCTGTATATAGTGCACCAGTAGTACTACTATCCAGTACTATCTGTATATAGTGCACCAGTAGTACTACTATCCAGTACTATCTGTATATAGTGCACCAGTAGTACTACTATCCAGTACTATCTGTATATAGTGCACCAGCAGTACTACTATCCAGTACTATCTGTATATAGTGCACCAGTAGTAGTACTATCCAGTACTATCTGTATATAGTGCACCAGCAGTACTACTATCCAGTACTATCTGTATATAGTGCACCAGCAGTACTACTATCCAGTACTATCTGTATATAGTGCACCAGCAGTACTACTATCCAGTACTATCTGTATATAGTGCACCAGTAGTACTACTATCCAGTACTATGTGTATATAGTGCACCAGTAGTAGTACTATCCAGTACTATCTGTATATAGTGCACCAGCAGTACTACTATCCAGTACTATCTGTATATAGCGCACCAGTAGTACTACTATCCAGTACTATCTGTATATAGTGCACCAGTAGTACTACTATCCAGTACTATCTGTATATAGTGCACCAGCAGTACTACTATCCAGTACTATCTGTATATAGTGCACCAGTAGTAGTACTATCCAGTACTATCTGTATATAGTGCACCAGCAGTACTACTATCCAGTACTATCTGTATATAGTGCACCAGCAGTACTACTATCCAGTACTATCTGTATATAGTGCACCAGCAGTACTACTATCCAGTACTATCTGTATATAGTGCACCAGTAGTACTACTATCCAGTACTATCTGTATATAGTGCACCAGTAGTACTACTATCCAGTACTATCTGTATATAGTGCACCAGCAGTACTACTATCCAGTACTATCTGTATATAGTGCACCAGCAGTACTACTATCCAGTACTATCTGTAAATAGTGCACCAGTAGTAGTACTATCCAGTACTATCTGTATATAGTGCACCAGTAGTACTACTATCCAGTACTATCTGTATATAGTGCACCAGTAGTACTGCTATCCAGTACTATGTGTATATAGTGCATGTGCACCAGTAGTAGTACTATTGTTTAGCACAGGTACTATAGACTATAGAGATAGTGAGCAGTATCTTTAGCTTTTAGTTTTAAAGTTTATTAACTGTGAGATCACGGATATATAAGTAGTGATAACTGGGGAGCCTGTGCATACTAGTGATGAAATATATTCGTTAAGTGGGAGTAGGGTGTTTAGTGTTCACAAGACCATGCAGTCCAATAGCAAGCCAATAATAAGCAATAAATAGAATAAAATAGCAAGCCAATAATAAGCCTGTCTCTGGTGTTACTAAAACTTCACATTTCCACCAGCCTTCTAGAAAAAAAACTTTTCTCTTGAGCACTTAGCAGTGTCCAAGTTTCTGAATTCTGATCCGTAAAGCAGTACCGATTCGCAAGCCGCAATGAACAATCGGATGTTAAGGTTCTTGGAAAGTTTGGATTTCCAGATGTTATTCAGTCTATGTAGTGTGAAGGGCACCCCACGTTTTTCGCTTCCTAACCCTGATCTCTCTATCCATGTGCTCTCAATCCAGGAGCCTAAGTACACGGTTGATCACTTGGATTCCATTTCTTAAGTAGTTGATTGCTATTTGGTTGACCGTTTGTTTGAAATTGGTAAGTTCATCCGGCAAAATATCTAATTTAACGACAAAACCACAAAATTATGATTTTTTACCCATTTCATTTTTACCATGAAGTCGAATACACAATTTAAACTGACCTAGAACAGAGGCAAGGTTGTTTGCTCGGTTGAGGTAAGGTCGGTGCCAGACTCTAGCATACTTCCCTAGTACCATCAGAGTGTTGAACCGGTGAGCAGAGGTTAGAGGACATGCCGTAAAACCCTGAGATAAGGGAGAATGAGGTAAAACGCTGAGATAAGGAAGAATGAGGTAAAACGCTGAGATAAGGGAGAATGAGGTAAAACCCTGAAATAATATTTGTTATTTGAGGTCAATTTGAGCTTAAAATTGCTTAATATAATGCGCGGCAACTTTGTAAGTCGAGTCATAAAGGGAAGAGCTAAATTCCTGAGCTCTAAATGCAGCCGAAATATCTTGTTTAGCGGAAACTTTTGGCTTTTTCGGTGGCGGAAAACTACTGCTAGGATCGGCCGTTGCCTCCCTGGACCCTGAATGCTGTCCCTCTTCCTTTAGCGCTAATTGCTTAAGATTAACCTCTAACCTATCTAACTTCCCTCTAACGTCACCCGGCATCCCCCCTCCCGGTTTGTGCCTCCTCACCTAGAGACCACCTGTTTAAACCCACCTCAAAGTGTTTCCTGATGATCTCCTGTAGGATAAGTTTAGCTCCACAAGGTTTACTAGCAGGTTCTGTAGCGGGGATCACATGATCAGGTGGTGGGGAGGCCATTCTCATTTCTGTAGCTCCTCTACATTGTACTAACTAAAATAGTAGTGTGGAGTACATTGTGCTAACTAAAATAGTAGTGTGGAGTACATTGTGCTAACTAAAATAGTAGTGTGGAGTACATTGTACTAACTAAAATAGTAATGTGGAGTACATTGTGCTAACTAAAATAGTAGTGTGGAGTACATTGTACTAACTAAAATAGTAGTGTGGAGTATATTGTACTAACTAAAATAGTAGTGTGGAGTGCATTGTATTAACTAAAATAGTAGTGTGGAGTACATTGTACTAACTAAAATAGTAGTGTGGAGTACATTGTACTAACTAAAATAGTAGTGTGGAGTACATTGTACTAACTAAAATAGTAGTGTGGAGTACATTGTACTAACTAAAATAGTAGTGTGGAGTACATTGTGCTAACTAAAATAGTAGTGTGGAGTACATTGTACTAACTAAAATAGTAGTGTGGAGTACATTGTACTAACTAAAATAGTAGTGTGGAGTACATTGTACTAACTAAAATAGTAGTGTGGAATACATTGTTCTAATAACTAAAATAGTAGTGTGGAGTACATTGTACTAACTAAAATAGTAGTGTGGAGTACATTGTACTAACTAAAATAGTAGTGTGGAATACATTGTTCTAATAACTAAAATAGTAGTGTGGAGTACATTGTACTAACTAAAATAGTAGTGTGGAATGATTTGATTTGATTTTTTTGTTTGAAACTTTTACAAATAGTACATATACAATACAGCAAAGAGAATTTAAAATAAACGACATCATGGGGTATTATGCTGTGTAAAAGTCGTAGACCATATTGTAGAAATACTAAAAGCATGGGTAAGTGGTACAAGTTCTGGGGATATACGTATTACAGGTAATATTTCTACCCCCAGACTCACTAACACCACCTCCATCTAATCAATACATTGAACTATACATACATTGTACAATACATTGTACTAATAACTAAAATAGTAGTAGTGTGGAATACATTGTACTAACTAAAATAATAGTAAGATGTACATTGTACTAATTAAGAAAGTATTGTGGAATACATTGTACTAACTAAAATAATAGTAAGATGTACATTGTACTAACTAAAATAGTAGTGTGGAATACATTGTACTAACTAAAATAGTAGTGTGGAATACATTGTACTAACTAAAATAGTAGTAGTGTGGAATACATTGTACTAACTAAAATAGTAGTGTGGAATACATTGTACTAACTAAAATAGTAGTAGTGTGGAATACATTGTACTAACTAAAATAGTAGTAAGATGTACATTGTACTAACTAAGATAGTAGTGTAGAATACATTGTACTAACTTAAATAATAGTAAGATGTGCATTGTATTAACTAAATTAATAGTCTGAACGTTTTAGTTACAAAGACATTGGCACCCACTAAAACATATCAACCTTAAGAAAAGCACCTCAGGTTGACTGTAAGTAACGTAAGCAGCATGCACCTTGTAAAACTATGTAAATGTATCTAAACTATGCCAGCAAGTGTAATTAAAACGACGTTAGCTGCAACAATAAGCGAAGTGTAATTAACAATGAGCGATTTCCAGAAAGCACAGGACGCTTTTAACAAGCAGAGTGCTCAAGTGTACAGATCAGGGGTGCACAAAACGTGCATATCACTGCAACAACATAGCCACTATCCAGTCAATCTCTGCAAATGTACTTTATTCTTCACGATTATATTGTCAGTGATGCGATAATAGAGTCACACTAGCATTCTTTATTTAATATAATGTAACGAGGACAAAAACAATGGAAAGGATAAAAGGAAGATGCAAGCAGAATATTAAATAATGTAAAGAAACTTTAACTCTTGGACAGCTTAAGTCATTTATAAAATGTAAACGTCGAGTTACTTCTATCCTAGAAGATGTATATATAAAGTACACTTATTGCAATTAAGATGGTTTATATTGCCCAGGATGTACTGGTTCCAGGTTTGGGTATATAAGAACCCGGTGATTACTGAGAGGATTATTAATGATAATAATGATAATGGTAAAGTAAACGGAATGACTGACAGAAATGAAGAATCGGGAGTTTGTACAGATTCTTCTAGAATAACTCCATTATTGGAATTACTTGATTTTGGGTTATTGTTAAAGTCTAAATACATAAATTCACATTTACTAGGATTGAAATTTAAAAGCAACCTACTTTCGCACGTTTTTAATTCCTGTTTTTTGTCCTTATAGTTGTGATTTTATAGTATGTACCAATTACAGTTACAGACTACAACCAATAGCTGCTTGTCGAGCTTTTACGTAAAGTTTTAGCCTAAACTAAAGTTCCTAAGATCACTAGAAGATCACTGTGTATAAGAATAGAATAACAACTAACAACATAATAACAACTAACAACACCTGACAAGCAGTGAGTGCCGTGTTGTAGTCACGTGATGCCAATATAAGGGCATATTGAGTGCAGCAAATGCCCCCTACCGAGATAAACAGTTGTGTGGGTAACTATGATGTATGCAGTGTACAGTGTACACCTACACAGTACACAGTACACTGGTGCAATCTAAAGTAATGGTATTACATATTAGACAACCATGTTTTTAGATTTAACAGAAAATAAATCGTCGATTTTTGTCGACTTCGGAGAATAAGCACCTAATTTTTTAGATTTTAGACCATGCAGCAATTATAACATCCCTATCCAGGGAATCGTTTAAGGAACCATTTAATGCACTGTTTAGGTTAAATACCTTTAAGTATTATTTAATCTCGGTAATCGATTTTCCTGCTGTAATGTTTAACTCGCCTTTCAAGAGGATCGTTTTCTCAAATAACAAAAAAGTGAATAATGATTACATATTTTCATATGTGGTCAGCAGATAATGCTTAAACCAACGTTAATTTACTTCTGAACAGTTTCATAGACAATATATTAGTCTTAATATGACTTAATTTAATTAGCCTTTATAATTTACCACTGCAATTATATAACTGACTAGATTTTGCTTTGGTAAAATACCCTTCAGGCTCCCAAACTCTAGGTAATACCAGTATTATTATTATATAATGGTTTAAATACTTCATCTACCAGACAGCTATAGAGCTGGTTAAACTGTTTTGTTGGTAAACTATAACCTCTCGGCAAAGTGCAGTAAAACCCCGATTTACCTCGCTTTGTAAGGCAAATATGTGTAAATCTTAATCATGATAATGATTGGTGATAATCGGTAAAGTCTATAAAGACAAAATGTATCTGTACTAAACCCTTTATACTAGGTTATGTTAAAAGAGTTGTGTTTATAAAGGAGTCCGCCCTGTTAGACTAAGCCTTGTGTCACGTGACTAAGCCATATTAAGTACTAATTACTATATCTTTATATCATGATCCGTGATTGCATTTAATTATACTATTGCGATCATAAAAGGAGTTTGATGGGCAGTATCCTACTGATATTATATAGCTTCCAATGATTTACTGTTTAGAGTTTAGACGCTCCATTTTTGGAGCTGAACGCCTAGTAGGATATATAGAATACAGTAGGAATACAGTAGGAATATATTCAATATAACATCTGAACAATTTTACGAATTTGATCGGCAACGTGTAACACTGGTGAAACCCATGTTATTCTCATACTGGAATGCTAGATGAAACAGCTAGCAAGTGCCAAAAGTAATAAACCAAAACACTGGGTTCATATGTGTCAGTGTGTTACTCAACTAGATATAACGTAACAAATAGTTGATGAATATGTCCGCAGATAGAGTGAAAATAGTAAGAAAACATTGAAACATGGCCTCCCCACCAGTGGCGTAACGTTGCCTGTTGGCGCCCCCCTGCCGAAAAAAGCGCCCCCCTGTTGGCGCCCCCTCCCCTTTTGGTGCCCCTCCCTAAAATTGAACAAATTAGGTGATTTTAAAGAATACGCCGGTAAAATCTCTAAAAAAGTGTGTATCTAGAGCAAAACGCGCAGTTTTGCTAGTACTTTAGTTAAGTTTTCAAAATTGTCCCACATTCAAACGACGATTTGGCGCCCCCCTAAGACGGCGCCCCCCTGCACAGCGGGGTCAGCAGGGCCTTTCGTTACGCCACTGCTCCCCACTCCCCAGGACAGATCGTTCAGAAGAATGTGAGTTTCACTAACACTCCCACATTCATTACACTGGGTGAGGTTGTCTGAGAAGTTGCAGCACGTTCATTGGACGAGCCATAGTCACATGATATCAATCGCGCGCGCTGAATGGCGATTGGCTGATTGCCTGTCACGTGAGATCAGATTGAAGCGCCGCGTGTACAGATAGAACTGATGTCATCGTTCAATTTAGGGTTCCGTCAAATCATTCGAAGATTGCTCCAATTTTGTGGTTCGGTTAGCCAAAGGTAAATTTACCTTCCAGTTAGTGTTGCGTCCCAACACCCATTTGATTGTAGTGGTTAGTAGGAATCTATATCTCATGTTATTAATTATTGAGGCTTATCAGCTGCAGTCCCGATATTCTTATGTTTTAATAATATATAATTTTACTGTGATTTCCTATAAGTGATACTTCCTGTAAAATACTATGCTAACAGGAGTCGCTGATTTTTGATATTTTCCTTGAGGATTAGTATATTAGATGGTTATACATTGAATGTATTACTGAAGCTTTTCGTAATTTCTTTTAGTTTGAAACTTACTGAACAGCTTATATATTACAATAGTAATAGTACTAACACTACTATACACGAGAGTTATTAATCACGTTTGTAGACACGTTCCTGCCAATATAATAATAATGATCCTTTCTTAGTTTTATCATTTTACAGTTTTCAAAGTTTTTCTATGAGCGGTATGTGTAATGTACACTGCACTAAGTATTAAGTTACTGTTATTGAAATTTAATAACTGAAACTTAGCCCTGAGTAGCGTGAGTTTTCTTGTCACAGCAATTTCATCGGCTTACTTTGCAATTATCCACACTGTTACATATCTTAAGTAAAACGCAAACTCTGTTGTTATTGAAACATTCTTTTTGAATTCAGATGTTGTTTCACTAACAAATAATG